AACTCTGGGGCGAGAAGTGCCCCGGAGGCTGCACATGGACCATCATTTCTTCCTCAGCGGCGACGCAGGCGCAGAGCATGGCTCCTCCATACTATTTGGCCCCTGGCCTTCCCAGATTGCATCCCGCATCTCAAGTGCTGATTTTTTGAGGATTGGCGGTCAGAGGTCGAAGAGAGTCCAGATATTGCGGGGTAGGACCGAACTTGCATCCCAAGAGGGACAATTAAAAGTAGGTAGCTTGGTGATATACCTGTTAAGATGTTGGACTCTGCGATGGATGCTTGTTGCCGAGGACTTTGTCGAAAAGGTCCTTTCTGCACTCCTCTAAAACACCATGTTTCTACGAAATTTGCAAGAGCAGCTGGATGCCAGATGGCAGCTTCTGAGCCACCACTCCGTCACAGTCTGGCTGGTTGATAACCCTCGGCTTGCCCTACTCTCCTCATTTCTGGTTTTATTGGCAGCCCACCTTCTTCTCGTGACTTACCGTGTTTTCTTTCATCCACTGTCAGGATTTCCTGGCCCCTTCCTGGCCAAAATGTCCGGCTTATGGCGCAGTAACCGGTATATGAAAGGAACGTGGCACGACGACGTTCTCGAACTGCACCAGAAATATGGACGCATTGTTCGCCTAGCACCCAACGAGCTCTCCATTGTGGACGAATTCGCCATGAAGCATCTCTACGGCCATGGCCATAACGCAAAAAAAACGGCGTGGTACAAAGTGTGGGATCCTCCTAACACGGCACCACAGCTTTTCTCCGAACTGGACAAGACGTACCATGCATACCTTCGAAAACGGGTCGCTGGAGCTTATGCAATGTCGTCGATACTGAAGTATGAGAAGTACATTCAAGACTGTTTGGACCTCCTTCTCTGGAGATTGAAGGGAAAAGCAGAACTCGGCCAGCGCGTGGATATGGCCCAGTGGACAAACGCATTCGCCTTTGATGTTGTCGGTGAGCTGGCATACGGGACGCAGCTGGGTCATTTGCGGACCGAGACAGACGTCAATAACCTGAGAGCTAACATCTTCAACATCTTTTTTACACTCTCTAACCTCGGCCACTTCCCTGGTCAGGCCTGGATTATCAATAATTCGTTGACGCAAGGCTTGCTTTGGATTGTGCGAGTTCCGCCCGTGTTTGCGAAATTTGCGACGTGGAGCAGAGATCGGGTGAAAGATCGGATGGAGAACCAGGACAACATCGAACGTGACGACATGCTTGGTCACTTTTGCCGGATGAAATGTAAAGACGGTAGCCCGGCCCCTTTAAATGAAGTGCTCATTGAGGCGATGAACCTCATGTAAGTGCACTGACCTTGGGTATACCTTGTGCCTTGGATCTACTGACTAATGGCAAGCATAGCGGCGCCGGAGCAGACACCACTTCCATCGGCATGCGATCGTGTTTGCATTACCTGTGTAAATATCCAAAATATTACCGCTTAGTTCAAGACGAAGTCGACAACTTCTACGGTGCAAACAAAGGAGCAGAACCAATAACGTACCTCCAAACCCAACAACTCCCCATCCTTCAGGCGGTGGTGAAGGAAGCCACGCGCCTTCTGCCGTCCATTGTGTTTCAACTACTGCGACATGCGCCGGATAATTTCACTGTGAGAGGCCAGTACATACCAGCTGGAACGATCGTGGGCATCAGCCCGATGGCTCAGAATCGAGATTGTGATATCTTTGGGGAGGATGCCGATGAGTTCCGCCCTGAGCGCTGGCTTGAGGACCGCGACAAAGCTGGCTATATGGATACTAGTCTTATGACATTCGGCGGGAGCGGACCGAGGATGTGTGTAGGAAAAAACATCGCTCTGGTAAGTTGAATACCTCAACCCGCGGCAAATAGGGATTCAGGAGACACAGTCGCACTAACATGGGTCTATCATTAGGTGGAAATTCATAAATTCGTCGCTCAGCTCCTCTATTACTTCGACGTCGAGATGGTTGACCCGAAGAACCCGTGGCGTATCACAACCGTATGTTCATCGAGCCCCCATCTAGGCTTTGGCTGACTTGGTGGCAGTACTGGTTTGCATATCAGCATGATCAACATATGAAGATCTGCTTACGGCCTGGTCGCACCATGCGCAGGCCGGATGGACTAGCGCTCGAAAAGGAGTCGGCATGAGTAGTGCTGGGGGCAAGGCTTCTACGAACGGTAGACCAAGTGTAGGCATCATCGACCCCTGTCTTCACAGGCTCGCCACGGATAGCTGGGTTCACACAGCTGCTGGCCGTAGAGAATGCCAACTTGATTCGGGTTAAAATCGTGACATGTCAGCGTACCGGCTTCTTTTTAATCTGCGTATCCGTTGACCGAACTACTTAAAGCACCCGAGCAGGTCGATAGAGGGTGTGGTGCCACCAAACTGGAGTAGTTTCCAAACACTTTGAATCGCATTCGCATACATTCTAAGATACCTCTTGTGTGATACGGGTTGACCTAAAAAAAAATAAAAAAAGAGGCCACGTGCAGTGGAAATGTGGAAGCGTAGGCCGAGGAAGCCCATTAACAGGTGCATTGAACCGTACGGCCTCTCAACTACCGTGAATTTCGAGTTGTTCGACGAATACCAACACAGTGAAGCCAAATGCAACGACAGATGAAGTTTTCATCATACGACACTGCTGCACCGGTATCGTAGTGAATACCGTTAAGGATCTGAAATCGACCCATAGTAGCAAGAAGGATTTTTCCGATTCTCCATTAGAAACGAAGCAATTGTAAAACAAGTGAATGACTGCCAAAGCTTTCATTTAGTACGAACCATGGCTTTCAGGGGAAACACGGATTACCGTCTATCCGTCTCGAAAAAGGAGCATAAGAAATTCTAGCACTAAGCAGAGAGCGCGCAGAGACGACCGACACCTCAGCACCATTGCCAAACTGATTCAGCTTCTGGAAGAGGACAACGGCTCAGCAGCAGCGCAGGACGTGGGCCGACACTCAGCCCCAACAGAACACTTTGACGCTTCACTTGGTCCTCCCACTTTCCTCCCTCGAGACGACAAAGACAAAGACTACAGCCAAGTCACTCCTCCGGAAGAAAACTGTCTATCCTTCACTTTCACGGACTTGGACTTTCAGCCGCCCGGTGATCAAGTTCGAGGGGCCGCAGCGTCGGTCGCACAGCTATCCGAGCAGGAGCATGGGAGGGCAGAACAGCCGCAACCAGCGCCTCACCCCCGACCAGGGTCCTGCTCATGGAGTATGGTACTACTTCTGGTGGATTTGTTCTTCGAGAAAGTTCAGCCGTGGCTCCCTATACTTCACAAGCCACGCTTTCAGCAGTTTCTGCTGGAGATATTGGGGGCAGAGGAGAACGCATTGGCAAGTCTCCGTGTGGAAGAAGCATTCCTGCTGATGAGCATGTTTACCTTGGTATCGCGCTTCCTGCCCGCCGAGACAATGACAACATTTCCTTTGTGCGAATGGGAAGAGGCTTACGCCGCGAAAGCACTGGATTATTATACTGAGGCTCGTGAACAAGAGTCGTACGGCCTGGTATATTTGCAAGGATGCATTACCCTGGCTCACTACTGCTATTCATCTGGGCTATTAGCACAAGCATGGATCCTGGTGGGCGTCTGCATTCGCATGGCTAACGAAGTCGGCCTCTCTGATATTGACTCGGAGGAGCAAGAAGAATTAGATTGCATCCAGTTGGAAGAGCGTCGGAGAGTTGGTTGGCTTATGTGGGAGCTCGATACCTTCGGATCCCATGTCTGAAAGAAGCCTTTCGCCATTGACCGGCGGAGTTTTTCGGTGGTCCTTCCAGTATCCGACGAAGTGTGGTTCACGGGCGAGATTGTCCCTTCCATAGGCCTTCCGACAGGATCTGAAGGTTCCTGGACGAGACTGCGGGAGTCTCCTAACCACAGCGAATGGGCTCGGTACTTTCTGTCCGTAAGCATTTTGTCAGCCTCAGCAGAACACTTGCAAAGACAGAATACCACTCCCGAAGACCTATACAGGTTGGAGAATGAGATCAGTTGTTTCAAGCTAGCTCTTCCACCGTCGTTTCGCATGCTCAACGACTCTCAGGCCTCCGCGAATATATCGGCAGCTCGTCGTAACTGGATCATTGGCACATATCTCGCCCTGTCTGCAGCATCCTTTGTCACAGGCAGTCTCGCCCTCAATAATGTTGAACAAGCCGGAAACGTTCTTGGAATGGCCAGCGCGTCAACATTTCTTCAAAAGCGAGGGATTGATTTGTCACGGATTGCACAGCGATGGCCCCTAAATCAAATCCGATCCGCCTATCCCTTTTTCTCATTTTACATGCTTACTCCATATGTGCCAGGGATATCATCGTGTATCCCTTCCCATGTAGGTTCGTCTTCAATTGAAGTAGTGAAGCTCATACAGTCCCGCACAGGGGACCTGTGGAGGTTGGGCTACATAGCTGAACGTGAGTATCTGTCTAACAATTTACGAACAAAGAAACGCTGAAAATTCGCAGGAATACAAGAGCTGTGCGCCGTCAAAGATGTAGACGGACTCGACGAGATAGACCTGCCTTTGATTGCCCGGTATTGTCTTTGGTTTTTGCCTTCTGTCAGCAAACGTGCGGCTCCACTCCTTGCAACTCCAAAGAGAGTTGGAACGGGAGAATGTGACAGTGTTCGGTCTGATCAAAGTATTCCGGATTTCAACGGGCGTGCTCCTTTGAATGGAGATCAAAATACTGCTACGGACCCGCTTGAAGGAGCCGATCCTCGGGCCATGCTCTCAGGACATCGGGACTTCGACGGAGGCAACTTCGACTTCAGCATGATGGACGTATTCGACAACTCGCAGCCGAGAGACATGGTTCTGGAACCAAATGCCGACCCCTAAGGTCGCAACATCTTTCGCAGTTGCAATGTCTATGGAAAGCTCCACTCTGGGACTATCCGTCGAGGAGGGCTCTTTTATTCGTAATAGCGACGTTGCCACGCTATGGCGCATAGTCTCGGGTTGCAACCGACGATCGTACCCTCAGGAAATTTCGCGTTCCGAGAGAATCACACCTCCTTGAGGCACGACTCGTTCGAGAATCAAGCCTACCGGGGTGTGGAGGCGAATCGCCTCTTTGATGACAGCACTCAAAGATGGGAGATGATATGTCTCCTTAAACTTCGGGAAGTCGGAGAGCTTCGCATTTTGGAGCTCAGCCTGTAGTCTGTTCAGAGCACGCAGGGTCCGTAGCTTGGTGCTCCGAAGCTCTCTTCCGGTAGAGTCAGTAACCGCTTCAGCTATGGCCTGCTTGTTTACACCAGCTTCTATCGGCGTCATGGGAACTGGATTTGCTAGATATAGTCCTGGCTGCTTATCCCTTTCACTTGGGTATTATTGTCGTCCATGTACTTTCTTTGATTGGCACCGATGCTTGTGTATGACATAATCCTCTTGGTGGTGTTTCTGGTGCTCTGAAGTGTCAAACGCTTGGAAGGGGTGCCCCAAATCGTGGCATTGGAAGGTTCGAGAAACCCATGGGTTAACATCCTCTGTCATGTGTGCAACGGAATGCGAAAATGGAGCGCTGTTCATAGAATTGCGCCAGCTGTCCATGGATGGCGCCCAATCTCTCAGCGTCACGGCATGCACAGATTCGGGATACTGTACGCCGTTCCACGAATTCTCTTTCTCCCGGCGTTGACCTATCCCTTTGAAGTCCCTGTCCGTGCCGAGCTTCCATCTGTGCCGAGATGAAATCGGCACCGATGCTCTCAATGGGGAGGTGAGCTTTTTTAATGTCGAATGAATTGGTCTTTCGTGGCTTTCTGCGTCCAGTGCGCCCTGATTTGCTTGACCCAGGTCTCAGAAAATAATGGCGCACCCGCTTCACATCCCAAACTTTGCCCCGGTTCTGTGGTGGTAAACGATGGGCCTGACTTTCACGTGGAAGCAAGTCGCCCATGCTACCAAACCCTAATTGAGTGGAAGAAATTCGTATCACAAGCACTCTAATATAGAACTTCTTTAGATCCGTGAGCTTCCTGTTCCAGAGATTGGTAGGCTGTCGGTAACCTTTGCATTGAAAATGGCCTCCACAGTCATGCAACTTCCCAGGTGGCAGTCCACTGATATCTTCGTATAGGAGATACTTGGCATGACAATACCTTTCGTCCAGTTCTCAATTTCTCCACCATGGCATTCACGCGGCCGGGCTGCTCCAATCCAACTTCTTGCGATATGAAGGACCACCACTACTTAACTCCCCGTCAGTCTCACCATTATACCCTGCTCCTCTGCCTTGCCACATTACAACTCTCGGATCGCGACGAACCAACAGCGGGAAGTGCTCGTCAGATGGCTGCGAGAAATTGTACCAAGGTTGCGCGACGTTGTTTATCACAATGCTGTAGAACGGATCCGAGGAAGCCGGGAGCTTGAGATCTACTTGCGCCTGTACCATTTCACGCCGTCGGGGCAGAGAAACGACGGGGATTGATTCTTCTCCTTTTGTGGTGTTGTGCACGAGATGGACGCTTCCCGATTTTCCGACCACAGACACCGTCCCAGAAGCAGTATTTCCTGCGACGTAGGTGGATGAGGACTTGAGGGTTTGGCCTGGGTGCATGTTAAAGGGGAGGATCTCCTGACTTGCGGCTGACGTTGCGGGTGGTTCCGAGGTTGATGACTGCATTGCAACCGATGATTTGATGAAGTCCTCTAATGAGACGACCTGAGTCTGGGAATCGCCGTTGAGCACAGCGAATCTTCCACATGACGAAATGCAGATACTTCGAATTAGAAAGCTCGGTGTCACAAGGTTGCTCATGCAGTCTGTCAAGTTAGTCAGCGTTTTAAAGTCAACTGAATGCAGGAACAGCGGAGTAGTGTAGCTACTTATACGTACTTTCGTCGTAATTCCACACTTGAACCGAGTCATTCATGAGAACCATTAATGGTTCGCTGGAGTGGAAGGCGACCTTGGTTATGAGTGGTTGTGTTCCATTCCCCACAGCGAACCTAACGAGCTCGACTTCACCCGCAGTAGATATCTGATTGAAGATGGCGAAGTGGTTGGAATTTGCGTGCTCATAGTCTGAGAAGAATAGTCGCCCTCCAGCGCCAAAATGGAACGAATAGGTGTAGATTCGGTGGTATCCCTGTATGTCAGGCATCGATCTGCACTCGGACCAGGCTTTCCTGAGCCCCGGCGAGAAATTTGTGTCGATGGCGAAGGACTTGTATGTGATTTCTGACCGATATTTCTCGCTCTGGATCCGAAAGAGCGTTCGAAGGACAGTGAAGGACCTTGCATCTTCGCTTATACTAACCGGGAACGCTATCCGCCATCCGGTGGAATCTCTTATAAGCGATTGTCTCATGAGAAGCCATATCTCGTCAGAGTCAAGAGGAATTTGAATCTCAAAAAGCCGCCTGGGTTCGACGTGGGTGGAAAAGGCTTCATAACGGCATACCCAGCCACTGCAAATATCCCTAAGCTCATGCGCGGTGACAAGAACGTCCATGTCCTCCCACACGTATTCAAATAGGCTAGAAGTGCCTTAGTGAAGCTCTTGACGGTGGGTCAAGCTGACATACCTTGATGGCCAAATTGCGAGAATGGCTATGAAGGTGCCACATGGTGACATGGTTGAAATTGAGCAAAGACGTTTTGAGCTCCCCTTGGTCGTCTCAGGCTCACCGGCAGCCAAAGGAATAGCTTTTGTGAGTTCAGTCTCGACGAGAAACCGACACTTCGTAAATGCCGTCACCTCATTCCAGATCAGAACAGGCGACTTCCGCAGGTTGTCTGCCCACTCCTTCTTAAGCGTGGACAACTCCTGGCCAAACTCTAGCATATCACTGCATAGTTTGGGGAAGTCAGATAGAGCCGGACAAAGAACTGTCTTCCCCCTAGCAAAGTCGGACCACGTCACCAACTCGTCTGACGGCAGGCCCAGATTTAATTGGTTTGAGAAGATATAGAATGCCTGTATCCATGTCGTCAGGACTGTAGGCTTCGACAAGAACGCCGCAATCACCTCGGCAAGAACGACAAATTCACTTTCTGTGTCTGATTTATTGATGGAAGGCTCAGTTGATGAGAGAAGGTGCTGGGCCCAATAGCAAACTGCGTAAGGAGCGAGGGGAAAGCTCGCGGAGAGCTGGTCATGGTCAACATTCTCAGTCACTAGTCCTGAAAGAGGCTGTGCTGGAAAATGATAGGTCAGATACAGCAAGCAGTTCTTGGCAATGACCATGCTTGCCAGGGGTTTGTCGCAGAGAAAGGCCTTGCTACTCCCTTTGACCACCAAATATTGATTCTGCTCAGGGTTGGACGCCAGGTAGTTGAAGTACTCAGCGACTGAAATGTGAATAAACTTGACGACCATTTTTGTTGGCTTGCTTGGGTCCTCATAACGCTGTTCTACTAGGCTGCCGCATGCTATCAGAATAGTCTGCGCAAAGTCAGTGTAGTTGCTTGTTTCGTGGATCACTGAGTTTTGTGCTTCCTCAACCACAATGGCATCATGGAGTTGCTGAATACTAAGTGGAGCGACAGAGTGCATCAGCCATGTAAATACGCGTCGCGCCAGAAGCTGCTGGGTGGTTCCGCCTCGGAGGATAGCCCGCAAGATTCTGTCGTACATCTCTTCAAGTCCCTCAGGGAGTACGACGTTGAGAATCGTCTGCATTCTTGAGTGTGGGCTTAGAAGGGGTGACGCGAGATAGCTCATCATCAGTCGAGCCCACAAAAACATACCATCAGCGCCAAGTACAAGCCTGTCGATTAGGTTTGGCATGTCGTCTTCGTCGGCAACAAGCTCTCCATCGTCGACTAGCTCGTTGATCAGACGCGATACGTAGATCCGAATGTCTCGGGACAATGCCGGCTTATTTTCTCTCAGGCGAAGTTGCTTGCAAGTTGATTTCATGAGTCCCCGAACATTCGGTCGACTGAGCATGAGTAATTTGGTAGTTTTAATCGCCGATAGAGTCAGGAGATGCTTTAGGAGACTGTTGTTGTCATCGCATTCGTCAATTGCGTCGATAATCATCCAAGTCGTGCCTTGCTCCTCTAAGCATATGCGCAAAAGGTCCATTAGGTCGTCTATGGTTGAAGTAAGCTGACCCCCCGAGAGGCCCTCCATCATAAACAGAAATCTGTCAAGAATTTGCTGCTCAGATCTCCGATGTTGCAAAAGCTGAGCCAGGAGAGCACGCAGCGCTGAAATTGTCTGGGTCTTGGTCGGCGAGCTTGCTGCAAAGAAGAAGTAAAGTATATAACCATCGCAGTATCCATTCCGTAACTTGGTGACAACAGATGCTGCAAGGATAGTCTTCCCAACCCCTGGATTCCCTAGAACCGTGTGAGAGTAAGTGCGTGACCCGAAAGTGCCCGGATCTCAAGCATACCGTTGATCCAAAGAGAATTCGTGCCGAAGCTCTTGGGACGTTCTACGCTGCCTGGCGGCGCTGTCGATTCTGCATGCATCCACTCTATGAATGCCTTGTCATCATATATCCAATTGGTCGTGTCGTTCTCCAGTAAGTCTCGTGACTGGATGAGTTCTGAATTAAACTCAGGTGGCTGAATCCATTTCAGTACGCGGTCGAATGCAGTGTCTATGGTAATCAGTTACACGAACAGGGCCAGTTATATGATTCATAGGAAAAGTAGGCTTACCTTGAAGCTGTTTCAATATATTGGAATTGCTCTCTCGGATGTCCCTGAGCTCTTCACGAGCAGGATTGTTGGCTCCCGATGCCCTGATTATCTCCTCGGCCAATCGCTCGGTAGACTGTCCAGACTGCTGGGCAAGAATAAGGAGAAGGTCGTCTTTGACCCGGGTGTAGTACATCGTCATAGCTGCTAGAGTATCCTGGAATCTCTCATCAAAAGGTCTCCACATAAGTTTGCCCATGAGGACTGTCTTGGAGCCAGAACCTACGTAGCTGTGAGTAACAACGGACGAACTTGTGTCAATGGGACACTCACTGCCATCTTTTTTCCGGAAAATCCGAAACACATCCCGAAAGAATGAGAGTAATGCCCGATAGATTTCGCCAAGCGAAGCGGCAACTCGTTGTGCTGAAGGAGAATGTTGCACCTTGGTTGCTTCAGCGAGCACATCCTTACCGAATGCCAGGGCGAATCGAAGTCTCTCCAAGACTTTAGATAACTTGTCAAGAAATGTCGCAAAGTTTGTTGCAAGCTAGACCCTTCGATGAGCGCCCGAACTCAATTACCGGGAATTAGGATCGTGGCGCGACATACCTGAATGATAAGTCGTAGCGAGCCCCACACTATTGCTGAGTACTGCGGGTCAATCTGATTAAAGATGTCGATGATATCGAAATACGACTTGAGGCCATCCCCGAATTCTTTGATAAGGGTGAGAACTTTGCCGCCGATTCGAAACGACCTTGAATTGGCGACCGCGTGAGTCTGCCCGTCTAGCCCGGCAAGGATTCCTTCGATCGTTGTATATGACGTCAAGTGAAGGCGTTCATCAGGGGAAAGGGATTGCAAGAAAGTCAATCTTGCATCTTCGAAGATTTCTCGAGCGGTTCTGGCGCTGTCACGCAGATCGGAAAATTAACCACAACATCTTGACCGCCCGGGGGCTTAACAAACGAGAGTTACTTACCTCATAGCTCCGAAGTTTTCCGCAGATGGTCATAGAAGAATCCACAAACATTTAGACCTGCTCAACAATCAGGGGGGCTGGAAATTGAGCGTAGATAAAGAATCCATCGAGAAGCGGGGTGGTGAGTATCTGCGCATCTTGTTGCCTGACGTGCACGAGGCGGTGCAACTGCCAAGACTTACCATATCTTCTAATGCACGGGGAGAGATCGATGTCACTGCTCTCAAGAATCTGCCTCGCCCGACTAAGCCTCAAGTTCGCGTCAGTCAGGCTGCGCAACAAAAACCAAAAATAGCGATCTAGCTACGATATATATCGAGAGCGGTAAAGGTGAACTCATAGTAGGATGGCGATAGAACGATGTCTTTTGACCCTCGGATCACGGGATAATGGCTATAAATTCTCACTGGTCGGTGATCGTGCGAGATTGAAAAGACGAAAATCTCCTGGTGCACCTCCTTCTCGCGTTTCACCAGCCTAGACAGCTCCACGACTCTTCAATGGGGAAGGGGAAGGACACATACCCTTTACCCATGAAGGAGTTGTCAGTAAGTTCGCCCACAAATGGCTGAAGGTTCTGAAGTTGGGTCTCGGTGAATGCAGGGTGTTGAATCCAACAGAGTAGTCAGGTTGAGGTCGGGGACTGGTCGCTGGGACATAGTTGTACCGGCCTCTGTTCACACTTTCAATCAGTTTATCGAGATATTTAGCACCGAATGTGGCCAGGGTCTCCGCAGACGGAACGATGAGTCGAGGTATATCTCAGCTTACCCTAGCATCATTTTTGTTTTGGAGCCTCCTGCATGCTTTCTCAAACACGTCATCGAAGAATATCGAATCCTTGGGGACAGTTTGCTCCTTCATTAATAGGTTGCGACAAAGAACTCTACCCTCATTTGTGATATTTGGTTCAGATTTGTCCATCGAATGCAACAAGGGAGATGCGCTCCCTGATGCACGGAGGGCGTGGATTGTGAGAGATTGCATCGACCGTCTCTACAAGGGAGTCCCAGTTTCGAACCTTAGGTTCCTAAAACTGTACCTCCGTGGATAGTCGCGTAAAGTTTCCACGTCTATGAAGAGAGACACTTATGAAGATGGCGTTAGCATGCAATGACAGCGGGGCCTAGAAACGGGACTGAGCACGGCTGATGGGCAGTGATGGTAAAATACGTGAAATCTATTCCTTGACGAAAGAATAAACGTTCTGAAACCGAAGATTCGATATAATACCGAATTTACTTGGCCCCCAACGTACTAAAAAAGTACGCTATAATGCTAGCGCCTAGTAATTTATATGAGGAATGTGTTTCGTCTATAGCACTAAAATACACCTTAACTATCTCTATTTCTCTCATACAACGCGAGATTATCACGCTACAGGAA